TGCCAGCCAATGGAGGGCAGTGTGGAGAGGATGAAGCTGACCATCCAGATGCCCATGACAGCATGCAGCGCCTGCTTCTTGGCATTGCTGAGGCGGTAGTTGACAGGCCAACGCACCATCCACATGCGATGGTAGGAGAGTGAGGCAACTGTGAAGCAGGTGGCCAGGGCCAGTGTGTAGTAGGTGGACACAAAGACCTTGCAGATGCTCTCATTCCAGTCATAGTCAGAGGAAGCCTGGCGCCGGAGCTGCACCACGGCGAAAGTGGTGAGGGGCACCGCCGCCATGAGGATGTGTGTGCCCGCCAGGAAGCAGAGCAGCAACTCCAGTGGCTTGTGCTTCTGCTGCTTGGCAGAGATGCTGAGGATTATCCAGGCGTTGGCCAGCAGGGCCAGGAGCCCACAGGCCAGCCAGGACAGCGCGTTGGAGCGCAGCGAGGCTTCTTCTGCCCCGGCCCCGGCCCGAGCCATCCTGTTCTCAGCCCCCCACCCCCTTTGAACTCCTGGGGGTGGGGGCGAGGTCTCACCCAGGAGCCCCACTCACACACACCGCCATGATGCCCACAGTCCTTGCCCTGTAGTGAGGCAGGCAGCCCCTCGGCCCACCCTAATGCTCAGCATTGCATAACTGACCCAGCTAAGGTCAGCTGTGGAGGGCAGGGGAAGAGACTGGGGCTCAGCAGAGGTGGTCCTCAACCTCCATACTGAGTGGGACCCTCCCTGTAGTTGACCGGGGAGGCAAGCTGGCTGCTTTGCCAACTATGCGGTTGGCTGGGGAGCTCTGGCCCCCATGCCCGGACTTGCAGATCTCTTCTTCCTCTGGTTCTTGACCAGCGGGGATCTTCTGGATGCCCCAAGGGGTGTGGGGGTGAGGCTCAGCCACCTGCACAAACTGCAAGGGAGAGATGAGATGTGGAAGGGGGGAGGGCGAAGGTAAGGCCTAGGCTGGTCCCCAACTGGCTTCTCGTGCTCCCCTTCTCATGCAACCATAGAAATGCCTGATTGCTAGGGGTCACTCTCCTGTCTTAGATCAGATAGCGGTTCAACCACCCACACAGATAAGAGCCCTGTTTCCAGACCTCCAGAAAAGAAGGTGTTCGGACCTCCTGTCTCCCACCCCTTTTCAGCCCCTTTTCCTCCCTCTGGCACTCTCTGGTTCCTTCTTCTCGTACCCCCTGCTCAGTACCACTCAACCACTATCTTCATGCCCCAGAGTCTCTCTTCAGAGCTGCTGATGGCAGGTGCATGACTTGTTTCTTCCTGAGGGTTCACGGTAAGCTGGGATATGGTATTACAGCCCCCCCCCCCCAAACCTTCCAGGCTCCAGGGCCCATGGTCCTGGTGCTCAGCCCCATTTCTCCACGTCTGCATGATCACCCTCCTGCTCACCAGGAGTCTGGGAAGATGGGAGAAAAGAGGCCGGGACCAAGGGGGGCCTAGGGAACCTGAAGGCGGGGAAACCGCTGACATCAGAAGCATCCAGAAATGGAAAGAGGGGGAACTAGGGGGAAGGAGGAGAGTTTCAGCAGGAGAGAAAGAAGGAGGGGGCAAAGTGATAGTATCTGAAAATAGAAGGAAAAGCCCAGAGACCCCTGGAGCGGAGACTGGAGGAGGGAGGGGAGGAGGGAGGGAGAGAGGCAACAGGGAATGGAGAGGCTGGGAAGAGAAGCTCAATGTGCTAAGGTGCTGCTTCCCACCGGTAGACACTGAGTCTCTCCTCCTGCCCCGGCCTCAGTTTCCTTCTGATGGGAGGGAGGGTAGTTCTGAATTTCATGACGCTGAACGCTGAGCTTCAGTAAGCCCCGGGGAGGGAGCTCAGAGGAAAGCAGGTGCAACCCCAAACAGAGTGGAGGCAGGAAGGATGGGCACAATGGCTTTGGGGTAAATGGGAGGAAAGGGGGCACCGCAGTGGGAGGGTCCATTGCTCTGGAAGAACCTCAGACCCTTGCCCTCCCCAAGAGGTCCTGGCCCACCCAACCTTTGTCTTCTCTCTGGAGCCCAGTGCACCCTAGTTGCTATGGCAATGGCCAGCCAGAGGGAGGTGGGGAGACTTGGTCAGGAGCGCCTCCCCCATTTTCCTCCCCGACGACCTCGGACCCCTTCCCACCCACGCCCGCCCAGGCCCAGCCGGGGGGCTCAGGAAGGAAGAGATGGGAAGTCAGAGAGGGACGGGGACAGGAAGGATCTGAAGGACAGAGAGGGAGGTGAAGGGCAGAGAAAAATCAGAGGCAGGTGGGACGGGGGACCTGGGGGACTCCAGGGGGGATACCGGGCCCCTCGCCTTTTGGGGTGAAGGGGTAAGGTCACGCGGCTCCTCCCTCCTGCCGCCCACCAGGTTCTCCAGGGCAGAAACAGCAGGTGGCTGGGGAGGAGGGGCGGGCCGGAGGGGAGAGGAAGCTGCTGGGGGCGGGGGAGAGAGGGGAGGAGACGCGGGGGACGGGGCAGGGGTCGGCTTACCTCCGGCTGCGCCCAGCACTGCCATGGAGACCGCACTCCCGGCACCGCTCGCCGGGCTCCCGCGGGCCGCCCGCTCTCGCCCTCCTCTTCCCTCCCTACCCCCTCCCGGCCTCCCTCCTCCCCTGGTCCCGGCCTCTCTGCTCAGCCGGCCGCGCTGGTCTCTGCCCCTGGGGGCTCCCCGCCCCTGCGCCCCTGAGCCCTCCAGCCAGGGAGCCCCGCGCCGAGGGCCGGAGGAGCGCTTTTCGGGGAAGGGGAACAAGTGCCGGGCGGGGGACTGGACGGCGGTGACTTGCAGGAGGAGGGGCGAGGACGGCGCCGGGAGGGAGGGGGCGAGGAGGATGGAGGGGAACCGACTTCATTGGTGAAACGGCTCGTGTCCTACCCCCACCCCATCCCGGTTTCCACACGAACACCAGCTCCGAGAGGCAGCTGGCGGTGTTCGGGGCTGAGGAGCGGGCTGTTCCGGGAGGAGGAAGCGTGTGTCACCGTGTGTCACTGTGTGTGTTGTGAGGGCTGCAGCTCAGCGGGCATGTGCTGGGGGCTGGGGGCAGTGAGGGGTGCTGCTGACGCTGGGCTGCTCGTGGGGCGGGGGTGCACAGGTCTGAAAGGGTGCAGACACACACACACACACACACACACACACACACACACACACACCTCCGGGAACACAAGCTCACGCGCCTTGAGGGATACACACAATTTGCAAGCACACATCCCAGCTTCTCATGGTCCTTGCTCTCCAGCACACACATGCGCATGTGTGGAAGGAACGCACACCCCCCTGCAGACTCTTCCCCTCGGTGCATCCATGACACACGTGTGACTACAAAGTCTTAGCCTCACACACACATGCAGGCCCCGTTGGGGGTGGGTAGGTGGGTAACCAGTCTCCAAATAATTTTTCCCTGCCAGAGAAACCTCATCTCCTAGGGCCAAGCCTGCCAACCTCTGCTCTGGGTCTGGCCCCACAGATCAGAAGATTCTGGGTCCCCAGAAAAGAGTTCACCTCTCTCTCTCTCTCTCTCTCTCTCTCTCTCTCTCTCTCTCTCACACACACACACACACACACACACACACACACAAATGAAGAAGAGCATCTTCTTTATAGTAAGTTTACTGTATTTTCTGTCAGCTCAGGGAGGTAGGGATGGGGAAGGGGCAGGAATACAAAGCAAGCAATGGGAGCTCTGGCAGCACCTGGGTGTGCTTCTTGGAAGAGGCAGGCTGGAAGGGAAGGGAAAGGGCAGAGGGACTGAGGGAGATTGTGAGAAAGACCGGAAGGAGAGGCAGAGCAGGCTAGGGATCCTGAGAACTGAATTAAGAGGAAGAATACGTGTAACCTTAAGTCTCCTGTATCCTGAATGGTCTGGGGGGTGACGGAGCTGAGCCACGTAAGGCAGGGGATCTGAAGCCCAGCACTACCACCCTTCCCAGGAAGTCCTCTCAGTGGGCTCACTCTTCCCCAGTGCCTGCCCGCCCTGGCAAGGCTCACCTTCCAGAAGGTTCTGTACGTGGTAGATCCCTGGGAACTCTGCTCCCAGCCTGTGCCCTAGCAGGAGAGCTGAAGGCTTTGTCCTCTGGTAACAGGATTCTGCCTCCAGCAGGCGGTGAGGGATTTTAGGCAGGAAGGCCCTCCTCCATGTTCTGACCTCCTGAGGCAGGCCTCCCCGAGGTGCTCCTGTGAACCCTAAGGTACATACTGAGCACCCGTGACTAGCCCGCTGCACAGATATGTGTGGTATCTGCTCTGTGTTCAAGAAACAGCCATAGAACTAGGGGTCAAGCAGTCTGGGCCAGTCTGGGCCCCAGCACTTACAGCCTTGGGCAATCAATATGACCTCTGTGACTTCCATTTCTGGTCTATAAACCGGAGATGCTAATCTTGGTCCTGTCACTACCAGCCTTGTAGCATTTTCTTTTTCTTCTTTTTTTAAAAAAATATATTTCTTTATTGATTTCAGAGAGGAAGAGAGAGGGAGAGAGATAGAAACACAATGATGAGAGAGAACCAATGAACAGCTGCCCCCTGCATGCCCCCCATTGGGGATCGAGCCCACAACCCGGGCATGTGCCCTTGGCTGGAATTGAACCTGGGACCCTTCAGTTTGCAGGCCGACGTTCTATCCACTGAGCCAAACCAGCTAAGGCCTTGTAGGACTTCCATAAGGTTTAAATAGATAAAGGATGTGGAACTGGTTTATAAACTGAGTGTGCTGCTTGGGTGATAAGGAATTGTGTCAGTGCACAAGTGTGAGCTGTGGACAAGGGTGTGTGTCAGAACGGAACGGTGGAGCGGTTAGAGCTGGACCTGTCCTTGATGGGCTGTGTGACCTTGGCCTACTCCCTGCCTTCTCTGGTGCCAAGGTTCTTCCCTGTAAGATGACAGTCCTGTGCTTCGTGCTTCAGTCACCCAGCCTCACACTCCAGGCCAGGCAGGGCTGGTCCTGAGCGCTCCCCTGGGATCCAAGTGGGCCGTGAGGGACAGAGTTGAGAAGAAATAATCAAAGAAGGACGAGGTTTCAACAGAAGAGGGAATGGGGGGGGGGGCGGGCAGCGGTGCGAGTAAGCCTCTGGAGGAGGAGACCCAATGGCCAGCTGTGGACAAGGAGAGCAGGAGATGGCAAAGGCGCTGGGATCTGCTACATTCATCCGGTCCCCAGGCCCAGGAGCCCAACAGGAAACGCAGGGTAGACAGCTGGGGAGGCTGCAAGTGGGAAGCTCCCCCTGGCCCAGTGCCTCAAATGAGATTGCATGTCTTCTGGAACCGGCTGGAGGAAAAAAGCATAAGAGGAGCAAGGCTCTTCCTCCCCAACTCCTTGGAGTTCTAGGACCTCCACGTCCCCTCATCTCTTCCAGTTTGGTTATGGCCTCTGGGCCACATCCTCCCTCCACCTTCTGCCTGCTTCCTACCTCCTCAGCCATCCCGCTGTACCCTTCTCCCCCCCCACCTCCCTTAGCCCCCATCTCCTCATCTGCATCCCTCCTCCTCTCCCCCTAGCCCTCCCATTCTCACCCCCCTTTCATCCCCCCCCCAGTTCCTTACTGGGGGCATTGGCAGGTCTTCTTCTCACTGAGGAGTCTCTTGATCTGAGACATCCGCACTGCCTGGCGCTGTCCAGGAAGAAGGAGAGGAGTAGTGAGGGTCCCAGGCCTCCAGAAGGGAGGTGCCCCTTGGAGGGGGGAGTGGGGAAAGCTGGGAGAGGAGAAGCAGATACTGTGGCTGAGGCCATCTGTCCCAGAGTTCACCCTCTGCTCCTTCCTGCCTCTCCCTCCCTGGGATCTGGGACAGAGCCCAGTCTGCAATAAGGGAACTCGACGGTGGGTAGAGAGAAACAGAGCAGAAGAAGGTCACATAGACAGGACACCCTAGTTGCTATGTGTGTGTATGGGGGGGGGGTTGGGAATTGAGGTCTGAGGAGGTTCACTCACCCTTCGGTGCCAGCATTTGACACAGCAGAAGATGCAGAACCCAATGAAAATCAGAAAGCCACCTACTGCCCCCAGCACAATGGCCAGGAGCTTTGGCGAGGCCTGGGTTAACTCTGAGTGCAAAACTGCAAGAGAGAAGAGAGGTGTGTTCAGCTCACATGACCTTCCCTCTGGGCACCACACTCCGGAGGCCTGAGGAAGGCCTGGCTGCCCAGCCACACTTGGGCCTGATGCTGGGGCTGGGAGACTGGGGCAGGGTCCTCTGGGCTCTCACAGGCCACCAGGCTGGAGGGGAAAGACTGGGGAAGGGTTTTTAAGGTTTGAAGACTACAGGGCACTCTGGGGAGCTGGGAGCAGTGGTCCATCCTATGTGCCTTCCACACACACACATGGGCGAGTGCTTGTGGCTGGGTTAGGAAAGGAGCAAGGATGGGGACTCTTGGTCAGGTGGGCCCCATTCATGGGCTGCAGACCTTGGGCAGTTGGGAACTTTCAGGGCTACAGGTGGGTCCCTAGGGTCCAGGACCATACCCTACTTCACCTTATCACCCCTGTGTCCGGGCACCATGCACATAACCCACCTCTCTCAGGAGAGTTGGGAGGCTGGGACTCTGGGTTTTCTTTGCCAACCCTGGGAAGGTCCCACAGCTGAGGAGGCAGGGGCTTGGGGTTAGGCCTCACTCACCCTCGACATTGGATTCCAGCAGGACTTCGTTGTTGTTAGTCAGTAGACAATGCCACATCCCCGCCTCAGGGTCCTTCACCTGCACCAGCTTTTGTTGACCTGAGACCTTTGCAATCTGGTTGTCCAGCTTCAAGCTCAGCATCAGCTCGGAGGTGTTGGTCCCCAACACCTCACAGGTCAATTGGTTCTGGGACTTAGTCACTGTAGAGGGACAAGAACCTGAGGTTAGGAGCCTGGACCTCTGAGTTCTTGGCACCTCCATGCTCTAAGGGGAATCCGTAGAACAATCAAAAGGACACTTTACGTGGGAGTTCCTCTTTTGGCATCTCAAGCACATTGTCATACAGCTTTAACAGAGAAAACACAGCTTTTGAGGTCCAACAGAACAGTCTTGGATTCAAATCCCAGCCCCACAGCTTACGATCTGTGTCTCTGAGCAAGTTACTTAGCAACCTGAGCCCCAGACAATTATTAATGCACAAGTACTTGTAGGGCTCTTAAATGGGGCCTGGCATGTGGGAAGCATCAAGTATTAGCCATTATTGCTTGTGGGGTTGTTATGGTGATTAAGGAAATAGAGAAGTGAAGAACTCAGTGTGGAGCCTGACATTGTCATCATCACACTCAGAGCATCCTCATTAGTAGAAAGCAGACACACACAGGTAGGGGGCTTAGCCAGGGTCATGGTGGGGGTGGGGAGACAGAGACAGAACTAGAACCCTGGTTGTCAGCATAAGCCCTTTGGGGGTTCTCAGTGGAATGTGCCCTAGGCTGGCTCACAGATGTCAGGGAAGGACATATGGATTCCAGTTTTAGTTCAAAACCAGCCCCCACAACAGTGGGCCCTCCATCAGCCCCATCAGACAACCAGGGCTTAGGCATCCCTTTGGGGACCAGTCCTGCCTTAGAAGGAGCCCTGGTCAGGCCCCTCCACCTCCTGTCCCGTCTTCCCCTTCTCAGCCCGGCTCCTCACTTCTCATCACCGCGAGGTTCACTTTCTGATGCAGCTGCCCCTGGCTGAGATTCAGGGTCAGGTGTCCAGAACCAACGTCCTGAAGCGAGGCCTGGGGCAGGCTGAAGGTGAGCGGCAGTGTCTCCTTCAGCTGGATCTTCCGGTCTTTTCGAACCTTCTTCACAGTCACCTTTCTGTTCTCCAAGGAGAAGGTGATCCAGGGCTGAGGGGAGGAGGTCCCCTCCTCCTGCCACCTCAGCTCCCCGACCAGGTTTTCATCCTCAAAGGTAAGTGGGAAGGAGAACTCCACGGGCTCCCCCACTTTCGTATAGACTGTGTCAGAGACGTCCCGGAAAGCTGGCGGTAGGAAGGGAGAGAACCTGGGTTAGAAGGAGGCAGAAGGATAAGGGTGCACAAAGTGGGGTAGGCATGTGGTGGGGGCAGCAAAAAGATGGAAGGGGACCAGGTGCCTTCAAACACCCAGGTTGTCATTTCAGGCCCTTAAATTCCCATCTACCTCTCTAATCCCTCTCATCTCTCCACCCCAGCACGTTCCTCTTCCCCCTGGAAGCCCTCGTAGAACAGCCCAGCCAGAGGGGTCCTCTCCCTCCTTAGGATCCTGGAGCACAGAGGGTATTTGGCCTGCATTTATTTATTTCTTTTTAATATGGTTTTATTGATTGCTAGAGCGAGACAGAAACATCGATGAAAGAGAAACATCATCAATCGGCTGCCTCCTGCATGCACCTCTACTGGAGATGGAGCCCACAAACCCGGCATGTGCCCTGACCAGGAATTGAACCGGTGACCTTTTGATTCCTGGGTCAACACTCAACCACTGAGCCTCATGAGCTGGGCTGGCCTGTATTTCTTAGGTGCTTAAGTTAGCACCCTCCACAAGATAAGAGCAAACACTTACACAGGCTGACTATGTGCCAGGCTCTGTTCTACGGGCCTTACGTTGCACTGATTCTTACCATGACACCACAAGGTGGGTACATCATGGTGAGCATCATCCCCACTTTACAGAATCCAAAGCACAGAGAGGTTCAGTAACTTGTCCAAGGTTGTCAGAGCCAGGTTTGAATCCAAGTGCAGACACTGCCCCACCTTGTGTCACACAAGCACCCGCGGAGGACAAGACCTGCATTCGGCACCCCCACCCCCACCCCCGTGCCTAGCTCAGGATTCTAAAGGTGAGTGTAGCATTTCCTCAGGGCTGGCTAGTATCCCCCAGTGAGTAAGTGGATTTGCAAATGGGTGGGTGAGTGGGGAGTGGAGGCAACAAAGAAAATAGGTGTCCTTGACACTCCTCCTTTGGGGCCTCCTTCAGGGGTCTGTAGGGCCCCTCACATCCTGCCATCCCATCTCCCTTCCTTCCTCCATGTCCACCACCCTGAGGAAGAGAGGGCCCAGTGTATGCCTAGGACAGCTTTAGGGGAGCCTGGCCCTGGCCTCCCTCTGTCCTCTAGTACCAGGAGCAGAGCAATGAGAGCAGAGGGAGGGTCTGTCAGCCTTTGAGGTGGGGGTGTAGGGGGGTGAGGAGAGGGGCGGGTCTGCAGGAGAGAGGAGCAGCTCTTACCCAGCACCAAGATGTTTATCTCGAACACCAGTTTCTTTGTGTCCTGGGAGACGGTGCATGTCCAGGTGCCACGGTCCTGCGACTCCACCTGGGACAGTGAGAGGCTCTTGCCCCTCTTCAGCTCTTTATTCCCGGGACCTTTCCATTCTACTGAAGGGTTTCTACCAGGGGGGCTCTCCAAGGTCAGGGTCAGGCTCTGTCCCTGCAGCAGGTGGATGCGATTTTTGATATCCAAATTGGCATTCACTGTGGAGAGAGCAGGTCACCTGTGTCACACACTCTATCCCCAAGGAGAAGGGAAGAAGCCAGGAAACCAAGAGTGTCTCCATTACCCCTGTCCCAACATCTTTCTCTCAGTCAATGCCCAGCTGCCCACCCCCAGCCCTAGGCAGGACTTCCCTCTTCTTCTTCCCCACTTCCATCCTCCTCCTTCTCCTCTCTTTCCTTGTCTCCCCCCCTACCCCCTCTTTCCTCTGGCTCCTTCCCTTCTCCTTCCCTCCCTTTAGCTTTTTTCCTCTCCCCCATATCTGACCCAAGGCTTGAGGAGGGTTTGAGGAGATGTGGTGGTCAGTCTCATTTGGCTCTGGACTATTGAAATACTGACAGCTAGTTTGGCCCTGATTTGGCTGAAGGGATAGGAGGGAAGGGGAGGGTGATTGGCTGGAGGTGTCTGTACCCCAGGTCTGCCCTACTCACATTTGAACACCACAAGTTCCACTTCTGTTTGTTGTTCTACTGTACAACTATAAATCCCTGAGTCTGTTATCTCAAGATTACTGATGATCAGAGGAAAGGATCCTTGATTCCACAGGGATTTTGGTGAATGGACACGATCTTTTAGCTTGGAGGAACCTGGGAGTAGAAGTCATAGGGAGGAGGTTGGGGTATGCTGGAGACATGGTACCCCTGGTGAAGGCACAGCTCACAACTCTTCTCATCTGATTTACTAATTTCCTGCAAAATCTGCCCTTGTCCTAGTCAGAGAACCCCAGGCTGGCGAGGAGGTCCCATCACATGCATTTACCTGGCTAGGGCAATATCTCACTAATCCAAAATAAAGTAACATCATATTTAGAAAACATCAGCTTTTATATGCCAAACACTTTACATGCACTATCCCAAATAATCTGCACAACAACCAACAAATAGCATTGTTTTGCTTATTTTGCAGATAAGGAAACTGAAGCTCAGAGAGATTAAGTAGTTGCCCAAACTCTTCTTTACACAATGATGGCAGGAACCTAAACCAGTGTAATTTCTTTGGAAAGTAATTTGTAACATACTAGTGGTCCGGTGCACAAAATTCGTGCATGGGGGAGGGGAGGTGTCCCTCAGCCCCGGCCTGCACCCTCTCCAATGTGGGACCCCTGTGAGATTGGGCCTAAACTGGCAGTTGGACATCCCTCTCACAATCCGGGACTACTGGCTCCTAACCGCTCGCCTGCCTGCCAGCCTGATCACCCCTAACTGCTCCCCTGCCAGCCTGATTGATGCCTAACTGCTCCCCTGCCAGCCTGATCACTCCCAACTGCCCTCCCCTGCTGGCCCAACTGCCCACAACTGCCCTCCCCTGCCACAACCCGCCTCCTCCGCTGAGACCGGCCTCCTCCATGCCGCATGGAGCTGCAGGACCCCCAGGCCTCACCGCGTGGAGTGGCCACCGGGCCCAGCTTTTGCTGTGCGTGCAGCCATCTTATGGTGGCCATCTTGTGACGACATCGTGTGAGGGTGTGAGGGCACAAGGACCACCTAGGCCCGTGGTCGACAAACCTCGGCTCGCGAGCCACATGCGGCTCTTTGGCCCCTTGAGTGTGGCTCTTCCACAAAATACCACGTGCGGGCGTGCACGTACAGTGCTATTGAAACTTCATGGGGAAAAAAAAAAAAAGAAAAAGAAACTTCATGGCCCATGCGCAGAAGTGGGTATTTTGTGGAAGAGCCGGTATTTTTAGGATGGGGTCCTCAACAAACCAGGGATTGAAGTAGAAAAAATTTGGCTGTTTCATCTTGAAGGGTGTTTGCTGGTTTCTTTCTGAAAGAGCTGCATTTAATACCAGTCTTTGCAGGTGACACTCATCATGATCTCCCCTACTCAAATTGATCACTGGGCTTGGTTGCAAAGAATAATTCAGAAAGGATATTAAAGTGAAATCTGCAGATGTCTCGTGATTATTTCTGGTCTTACGTTTCTCATCGTTCATAACCTGATGGCCATTTATGACAGATACTGGGAGTCACAAGATGTCACCACAATCCGACTAGAATTGCCGAGGTGTCTCATTAACAAGGATCAAATCGATGCCTCACAAAAGGAGAAACGGAAGTACGCCAAGTCAGGATGATCTGAAATTAAACCTGGACGCCTTTGGGCTTTTGGGCCTTTGGGCCTTTTTAAAGTCTCTTGAGCATTTTTAAATAGAAATAAATTTGGGTTTCACAAAAAAAAAAAAAAGAAAAGAAAAATTTTTTTTTTAACTCTTGGTTCAGAAAGTGGGGGAATCAGGAGAATGACACTGCCTTTGTCAGAGATCAGGAAGTTGGGGAAGGGAGCTGCTCTGCAGAAAACTCAAATCACCGAAAGAGAACAAAAGCATTGACACAGAGACTTAAGAATTTTTAGAAAGAAGCACATTGTTTCAATCTCACAGGTGATCAAAGAAATGCAAAGTAAAATAACAATGACATTTTCAACTGTCAAATTAGTAAAAAAAAAACACAAAAAAACCCACAAAAAATTAAATACTAATACTAATACTGCTCAGTGCTGGCAAGGGTGCTAGTGAGAGTGGCACAAAGTAACATCCAGACTTACTGAAAATAAATAGAACCTTCCTGGAAGCAATCATGCAGTATATGTCAACTGTTTTTAAAAATTCATATCCTTAATTTCATTTCTAGAACTATGTCCTTAAAACAATAATTTAAGCCTTGGCTGGGTAGCTCAGTTGGTTAGAGTGTCATCCCTATATGCCCAGGTTGCAGATTTGATCTCTGGTCAGGGCACATACAAGAAGCAACCAACGAATGCATAAATAAGTGGAACAACAAACCAATGTTTCTTTCTCTCTCCCTCCTTCCTTCCTCTCTCTAAAATCAATAAATAAAAAAATTAAACAATAATTTAAAATTTCAAACCAAAATATGGGTACAAAAAAAATAACTATAGTGTTTGTTAATAGGATCCAACATTAGACAAGAGGATAATGGCTTGCATATTAGAGTACGTGAATTTGATAGAATATTAGGGTGCTACCAAAAATGATATCTATAAATAATTTTAATGAAATGGAAACTAGCCCTAGCCGGTTTGGCTTAGTGGATAGAGTGTCAGCCTACAGACTGAAGGGTCCCAGGTTCGATTCCAACCAAGGGCACATGCCCGGGTTGCAGGCTTGATCCCCAGTATGGGGCGTGCAGGAGTCAGCCAATCAATGATTCTCTCTCATCATTGATATTTCTATCTCTCTCTCCTTCTCCCTTTCTCTCCGAAATAAATAAAAGAAATATATTTTTAAGAGAAATGGAAACTATTCATAATATACATTTTTAGAGTTGCATTAAGTTAATCTTTACTTTTTAAGTTAGTTATTTGAATTAGGAAAATTATACAGACTCAACACTTCCCTTTTCCTTGGCCCAGCCTCCTAATACTACTATACAGTTTGGTGTGGATTCCTCCATGCTTTTTTCTTAGCTCATGCAAACATATATTCACACACATTGTATTTTAAAATTAAAATGAGAACATATTACATATATAGCTTACTCTTTCCACTTAACAAAATATGCTTCACATCTTTCTGAGCATATACATGTGAAACTTTTCATTCTTTTTGTGGGCCACAGTGTTTTTCTCTGGTGTTTGACTAAAGTAGAGCAGTTATTATCTAAAAGTGTTTTATCTTTCTAAGTTACTCCTTTCCTGGTCCTTTGTCTAGAAAACACAGGCTTTTTTTGAGGCTTATTTTTGTCTGTGCCCATTGGTGCTTTCAGCTTACCAGCTTCTTCAGCTCCAAGACTGGAATATATAAGGCAACAAGAAAACTCACTACATGTCGTTCCTCAGGTCCTGAGGTCCCTACCAGTCTGCCCTCTTCTCTGCAACTTTCAAAATCTTCTTATGTTAGTTTTACATATAATTTCCAGGATTTTCTGTTACACTTATTGGGAGCAATAGTGAAAAGTATGTTCTGAACTGTCCCTCCAAAATTCATATGTTGAAGCCCTAACACTCAATATGATGGTATTTGGAGATGGGGCCTTTGGGAGATAATTAGATTGAGATGACGTTGTAGGATGGGGTCCTCATGATGTGATTAGTGCCCTTATAAGAAAAGACATCAGAAAGCTTGCTTTCTCCCTCTACCAAGTGAGGACACAGCAAGAAGGCGCCATCTGCAGGCCAAGACGAGAGTCCTTTCAGAACCCAACCATGCTGGCTGGCACCTTAATCTCAGACATTCAGCCTCCAGAACTGTGAAAAAAAAGTTTCTGTTTTTTGACCCACCCAGTCTATGGCATTTTGTTATAGCAGTCCAAGCAGACTAACGCATACATCTACTTCATTTTTCTGAAAGTCCTAATTTTTTAAAAAATCATATCATTTTATTGTACAAAAACAATGGACTTTGTATGCACACACTGTGCTGAATAGCTTCCCCCTTTAAGACATGTAAATGAGAATACTTGGATTAACTCTGGTCACAGAGGTCAGAACAACTCAACTGTCTCATAAACAAATATGCCCCAAATGTCTTTTAAGTCTACAGTTACATGTGTTTTTTAAAATATATTTTTATTATTGATTTCAGTGAGGAAGGGAGAGGGGGCGAGAGATAGAAACATCAATGACAAGAGAGAATCATTGATCAGCTACCTCCTGCACACCTCACACTGGGGGACTGAGCCCACAACCTGGGTCAGGGCACCTGCCCAAGAATCGAACCATGACCTCTTGGTTCATAGGTTGATGCTCAACCACTGAGCCAGGCCAGCCGGTCATCATTGATGTTTCTATGTCTCTCTCCCTCTCCCTTCCTCTCTGAAATCAATAAAAATATATTGGGGGGAGCTATATACATATGGGCTTCTATATGCAGAGTTCATCTCTTGAAGGAAACATAAAAAGTGATTAAAACAGTTGTCTCTCGGGAAAAGAGCTAAAGAACTGGGGATCATAAGTAGGAGGAATATTTATTGTCACTATATCATTTGCATGGTTTTAAAATTTTACCCTGTACCTGTATCATTTTTTCAAGTTTTTATTTTTTTTATTATTATTTTTTTAATATGTTTTATTGATTTTCTACAGAGAGGAAGGGAGAGGGATAGAGAGTTAGAAACATCGATGAGAAACATTGATCAGCCGCCTCCTGCACGCCCCCCACTGGGGATGTGCCCGCAACCAAGGTACATGCCCTTGACCGGAATCGAACCTGGGACCCTTGAGTCCGCGGGCCGACGCTCTATCCACTGAGCCAAACCGGTTCTGGCCAAGTTTTTATTTTTATTTTTATAACTTTAAAAGTAATAAAAATAAATTCCTAGCAGAAAGTCAATTTATTTCAAGCGATTTAGCAGAATAAAATTTTAGCAGAGTGTCATCCCTATATGCCCTCGCTTGCAGCGTTTGTGGGAGTTGTGGTCCTGGGCTCTGTCCAAGGGTGTAAGTTCTGTAATGGGCCCGTGGTCCAGGGGAGGACGAAGGTTAGTTTGATCATAGGGGCCTCTTGAAGTAGCTGTTTGAAGGAGGAGAGGACATGGCAGGCAAGGGACAGTTAATCTGCTGATTTCTGCTTTGTGTTTTTATCAGAAAGAGATCAGGAGTTGGGGGTTTTGTCAGTTTTTAGGGAATGGCTTTTTCATGTTCAGACCTAAAGAGTGGATATGGGTGTCTGATTCGTGTTTCTCAGAGCCCAGAAAGAACATCTGCACTGGAAGGGGAGATGTTCATTTCTTTCTTTTTTAAAAATCCTCACAAGAGGTCAGAAACCAAGATGGCGGCATAGGTAAACACTGGAAATTGCTGCCTCACATAAGCACTTCATAAATACAACTAAAAGATAAAACAGACATCATCCAGAACCACAGGAAAGCTGGCTGAGTGGAAATTCTACAACTAGAAGGAAAGAGAAAAGCATACCGAGACTCAGAGGAGGTGCGGTGTGGAAGTAAAGTGCAGAGGTACGGAGGTGCACTCGGAAAGGGCTGGTGGCTGAGGACACGGATGTCTTTTTCAATCCGAAGGGAGTCTCAGGCTCCCGACTGCTCTGAACTCCAGTTCCGGGCGAGTCTCTGGGGACCCAGACTCATACGGGGAGAGGCTAGACCAGGGGTGGACAAACTTTTTGACTCGAGGGCCACAATTGGTTCTTAAACTGGACCGGACGGCCGGAACAAAAGCATGGATGGAGTGTTTGTGTGAACTAATATAAATTCAAAGTAAACATCATTACATAAAAGGGTACGGTCTTTTTTTTTTTTAGTTTTATTCATTTCAAACGGGCCGGATTTGGCCCGCGGGCCGTAGTTTGCCCACGGCTGGGCTAGACTGTGTGGCATCGGTTGGACCTCAAGGGCGGCTTTCTCTCAGAGGTGCTTGCAGCGATTACCGGGACACTGAAGTGGGGCCTCTTAGGGCAGGACTGAGGAGCAGCCATAGCTGCTTGCTCTGCCCTGTTGATCCCCTGGGACCCCGCCCCACCCAAGCTGTGCGCAGGCTTTTGCGTATGAAAGGCCTGGCCCTTTGCAACCTGAAAATTACCTAACCAACTGCAGCTGGCCCAAGGCCCCACAGCAGCTTGCATTCCTTCACAGCTGAGCTCCTGCTGGGTAGCCTCAGGCAGAGGCTAAATTAGCACCTCCTTAGCGATCCAAGAGCCAGTGTACCCAGTGGTCAGAGTGGGACCATCCAGATTACAACTCCTCAGATCCATAAGGGACACACTCAGGGGGCAGACTCAGTGAGCACCAAAGCCCCACTGAAGCAAGTCTTGCCCCAGAAGGGTGTCTCCAGCACAGAAGTTCTCCCACTGCAGACACAGCTGATTCTCACAGCCAATTGGCCTGGAGGTCAATTCCTCCCAGTGATACCTACAACAATCAAGGCTTAACTACAACAAGATTGTGCACAAAGCCCACAAGGGGGTGCACCAAAAGTGTCCACCTCAGGTAATTGGGGAGGCTGAGCCACTGGGCCCTATAGGACACCTAGCACAGAAAGCCACTCTCAACACAGGGAAGCATAAAAAATGCGGAGACAAAGAAACAGGTCACAAATGACAGAAATGGAGGAAAGCAAACTACTGGATATAGAGTTCAAAACCACACTTTTAAGGCTTTTCAAGAATTTTCTAGAAACCACCGATAAACTTAGTGAGACACTCAAGAAATTTAGTGAGACCGCCGATAAATTTAGTGAGATCCTCAATAAGTCTAGTGAGACCCTCGAGGTTGTGAAAAAGGACCAACTAGAAATTAAGCATACACTGACTGAAATAAAGAATATTATACAGACTTCCAACAGCAGACTAGAGGATCGCAAGAATCAAATCAAAGAGTTGAAATATGAAGAAGCAAAAAACACCCAACCGGAAAAGCAAAAAGAAAAAAGAATCCAAAAATATGAAGATAGTGTAAGGAGCCTCTGGGACAACTTCAAGCGGACCAACATCCGAATTACAGGGGTGCCAGAAGAAGAGAGAGAGCAAGATATTGAAAACCTATTTGAAGAAATAATGACAGAAAACTTCCCCTACCTGGTGAAAGAAATAGACTTACAAGTCCAGGAAGCGCAGAGAACCCCAAACAAAAGGAATCCAAAGAGGACCACACCAAGACACATCATAATTAAAATGCCAAGAGCAAAAGACAAAGAGAGAATCTTAAAAGCAGCAAGAGAAAGACAGTCAGTTACCTACAAGGGAGTACCCATACGACTGTCAGCTGATTTCTCAACAGAAACTTTGCAGGCCAGAAGGGAGTGGCAAGAAATATTCAAAGTGATGAATAGCAAGAACCTACAACCAAGATTACTTTATCCAGCAAAGCTATCATTCAGAATTGAAGGTCAGATAAAGAGCTTCACAGATAAGAAAAAGCTAAAGGAGTTCATCACCACCAAAGCAGTATTAAATGAAATGCTGAAAGGTATCCTTTAAGAAGAGGAAGGCCAGACCGGTTTGGCTCAGTGGATAGAGCGTCGGCCTGTGGACTGGGGAGTCCCGGGTTTGATTCCGGTCGGGGGCATGTGCCTTGGTTGCGGGCACGTCCCTACTGGGGGGCGTGCAGGAGGCAGCTGATCAATGTTTCTCTCTCATCGATGTTTCTCTCTATCTCTCTCCCTTCTTCTCTGTGAAAATTCAATAAAATATGTTTTTTTAAAAAAAAAAGAAGAGGAAGAAGAAGAAAAAGGTAAAGATACAAATTATGAACAACAAATACACATCTATCAACAAGTGAATCTAAAAATCAAGTGAATAAATAATCTGATGAACAGAATGAACTGGTGATTATAATAGAATCAGGGACATAGAAAGGGAGTGGACTGACTATTCTCGGGGGGAAGGGAGTGAGGGGGTTGCAGGAAGAGACTGGACAAAAATCGTGCACCTATGGATGAGGACAGTGGGTGGGGAGTAAGGGCGGAGGGTGGGGTGGGAACTGGGTGGAGGGGAGCTATGGGGGGAAAAAGAGGAACAACTGTAATAATCTGAACAATAAAGATTTAATTAAAAAAATAAATAAATAGTTGCCATGGAAGGCACCAGAGACAAAAAAAAAAAAATCCTCACAGGAGGGTATTTTCCCATTGATTTTTAGAGAGAGTGGGAGCGGGGGGAGGGAGGAGGATGAGGAGCAGAGAGAGAGAGAGAGATCGATTGGTTGTCTCCCAATGCACCCTGACAGGAGCTGGGAATCAAACCTGGAATACATGAATGTACCCTTGACCCAGAATCAAACCCGAGACCCCTTGGTGCACTGAGGGACACCTTAACCACTGAGCACACCGGCCAGGGCGGGAGATGTCCACTTGCAACAAACACGGTTTCCTGTGCACTGTGGCCAATTCAGGTCTGACGGCACTGAGGAGAGCTTTCCACAGGGAGCCTAGGCTGAACGTTGGAGAACCAAAGCTCCACCCCAGCGCTGCCTCTCACTGGGTACATAAGCTCAGGCAGGCGTGTCCTCTCAGGGCCACAGTTTCCTCTCTAGTAAGATCAGAGTCTTGGGCTGCAGCCATATTTCCCAGACTTCAACCATTCACATACCTTATACATGATTTTGGCCAAATCTACTTGTCCTATTTATGTAAGATTTTAAAATGGATTCACTTTTGCCCTAGTTGGTTTGGCTCAGTGGATAGAGCATCAGCCTGTGAACTGAAGGGTCCTAGGGTCGATTCTGATCAAGGGCATGTGCCTGGGTTTCGGGCTCCATCCCCAGTGGGGGCGTGCAGGAAGCAGCCAATCAATGATTCTCTCTCATCATTGATGTTTCTATCTCTCTCTCCCTCTCCCTTCTTCTCTGAAATCAATAGAAATATACATACATATATATGTATATGTATATATATACATATATTAAAATGGATTAACTTTTAAAAATTAAATAAATTCATTTAAAAGGAAACTTTATATCACTATAATAAATAGGAAGTCAGTATCACTTGACATAAACAGAAGGCCACTGTAAAAAACACACACACACACACCAAAAAAACTACCCCTGGCCCAGGTGTCTCAGTTAGTTGGAGTATCGTCCCATACACCAAAAGGTTGTGGGTTCAATTCCTGATCAGGGCATATATCTAGGTTGGGGGTTTGATCCCCAGTCAGGGGGCCTCAGAGAGGCAACCAACTGATATTTCTCTAACATTGATGTTTCTTTCTCTCTCTCACTTCTCTCCCTCTCTCTCTAAAATCAATAAACATATCCTCATATCCTCAGGTGAGGATTAAAAACAAACAAACAAACAAAAAAACTCCTTAAAACAATGTTATAATTATCACTTAAAACTAACACATGTACCTGGGTCTCTGTCACCCTGAACCCTCTGGGACCCCAGAGGTTCCTAGGAGCCGAGCGCTGACACCAGGGATGCTCAATTCACAATGCTTTCTTCCTGAAGGGGAGCGGGCCACCCTACCTGTAACCAAAACTGAATTCTTGACTTGGCCGTAAGTCTTCACAATCGTGTTTCCTCTAGAATCTTTCCAGGTGAATGGCATGTCCTTCTTCTCGGAAGCTTTGCAGGGCAGCTCCACCTGGCCTCCTGCCTTACCCAGCACCACTTCTCTCCCCTGAGTGGCTCCTAGGAGCAGTGCTAGGTGGAAAAGAAGGAGTCAGGCCTTGAGTCAGTCACTGCCCCACCTCCACCCCATCCCCCGCCTTAGCATTTCTCAGTCAGCCCCTCCTCCCAGGCCACCTGCACCCACACCCCAAGTCTGAGCACTCACCCAGTTGCAGCAGCAGGAGCAGGTGCCTAAAAGAAGTTCCCTGGTTCATGGTGGCCTTGCTGAGGCAGGGAGGGACCTGGGTCTTCCCCTGAAGAAGGGCAGAGCCTGGGGGAGACACTCATCATTAGACAGCAGGCATTTATTGGCCTGGGGCATACAGGGATGCTAGGCAATCGCTCCCTTCAGGAACCTACAACCAAGCCAGGGACGTGGACGTGCGTGTCTTTAAGCAGACCCCCCCCCCCCCCAGCATGTGCCACACAGTGCTGTGCCCAGGCCAGGGGTGGGGTCTCTGCCAGCTGCCATCAGAAAAAGACCGAGAAAGTAGCAAATTGGTGGGGACTGAGACCAGGGAGCCACACCAGGTCATGAAGGTCTTTGAATGCCACGCTGGGATGCTGGGACCCGACCCTGTGCCCTGGGGAGCCAACGGAGGATTTTATGTAGAGAAGGACACGATTAGATTTGCAAATGGCTCGTGAGTGGTGTGAATGTTTTGTCCACTGGCGCTGGCACTGGCGCAGGCCCCACCCTAGGACAGGGACCGGCAGCTACAGGCTGTCACAAGTGCCCACCGTGGTGGCTTCAGCAGCACATACTAAAATTGGACAGGCCAGCATGGCTCCTGAGCAGGGAGGATGTGCCGTGTGAAAGATGAGTGGGAGGAGGGCCAGCACGGGAGTCAGGGTTGAAACAGCCCTGCCAGGGAAGGGGAGGCCTGAACTCAGACAGTGGCGGTGAGATGTGGGGAAAGAGACTGACTTAAGGTGCGATTCCCAGGACTTGGGGCCTGATCGCGTGTGAGGGGCCAGAGAGAGAAAGAGCAGAAGGTAAAGCCCTGTGCACCAGCAGACCGACCCTCTCACGCCTCCCAGGGGCACCGCAGGAGGTGCTGTTTCAGCGTTCGATGACAGAGCGGCAGCCTGTTCCGTGGTCGCTGGTTGGGGTGGGGGGTGGGGGGTGGGGGGCAGCTGCAGAAAAGTTCTGAATAGACCTTGAGGAAGGGGTACATTAGATTAGAGCAGCGATTCTCCAAGTGTGAGTCCAGTTCCGCAGCGGCAGCAGCGTCACGTGGGAACTGGTTAGAAGTGCGAAGTCCCAGGCCCCACCTAGAAGTGCTGAATCAGAAGCTGGGGCTGGGTCTAGCAGTCTGTTCTCACAAACCCCCCAGGTGACTGATGCACACTTAAACCTGAAAACCATGAATTAGATGAAAGAAAAGGGAAGGCACCTCCCACCCTGAGGTGTGCAGAGGAGGTAGGGCTGTTCAAGGAGACTTGGGAGTTAAGAGGGGTGCTGGGGGCTCCTGATGAGGTTTGGGAGGAGACTTTTTAAAAAAAATCCTCACCCAATTTTTTCCACTGATTTTCAGAGAGAGTGGAAGTGGGGGGGGGGGGGAAGAACGTCAACATGAGAGAGATACATGGACTGGTTGCCTCCTCCATGTGCCCCCACTGGGACTGGGGAACATGCCCCTGACCAGGAATTGAACCTGGGACCCCTCGGTCTGAGGGCCGATGCTCTAACCACTTAACCAGCCAGGGCAGGGGGAGATTTTTTAAAAAGCTCTCTCCAGGCACTCGACCTGCCTAAGAGAATCATTACCCAGGGCCAAGCACATGGTTAGGGGCCTGATAGTATGAGGTCTGATCAAAGAATGGAATCAATACCCCCTCCCCTGGGAACTGACCTTCAAACATAATTTAACATAACTGCTGCCACTGCCATGGAAAATGGTCAGAGGTTCCCTACGTCCAGGCCTTTTCCACCTTCAGTCCCATTCCTCTCTCTCAGTCCTGCTCTGCCCGTCAGGGCTTCCTCCTTCACACAAAACATCATACCCCTAACACTTCTGATTCTGAATCTACTTTTGACCCAGCAGACCACCGACCTCCACCCTCTTACCATCCCCTCCCTCACCTGCAGTAGATTCCCCAAAACCCAGACCCTCCTAACCAGCAACCACCTTCTCCCCAGCCCCTGAGAGCCCAAGTCCCAAGAATGCAAGCTCCAAAACAGCCTTTTCCCACCTGACACTTGCTCTCGGGCCACCCAAAGACCACCCTCCTCAACAGCCTCTTCTATTCCCGCGCCCATTCTACCCCTGAGGGAGGCAGCAGGAACTGAAGGTATTGTGGTCAATTATGACAAACTTAATGAAATCACTCAAGGCCCTCACACAACCCCTCGCTCCAACCAGGAGGAATCTATCTATACAACATTCCAGCTGACTACAATTGAAGGCCAATGCCCTGTGATCTCGAAGTCCAGCCTCAGGAGGAAATAATTACAGAATATATGACCTTCGTCCCAATTCCATAAAACAAAAAGGCTGGAGTGTTAGGTTTGATCCAACAACTGACCTTTAGGCCACTTCACGATGGACTCCACTTGCCGAGACCACAATCCACTTGCTAAGACCATCATCTCTCCCCTCCAGACTTCCCAAAATCCGGACCTGCACGGAGAATTCTCTGCCCAAAAAAAGCCCCAAAGCCCGCCTAGAGTCCTTTAAAAACCGCTGACTCCCATCACTGGGTGCTGGAGCCATCTGGGGCTCAGCCACCTGGTGTGCGGATGATCGAATAAATTCGTAATCCCTCACCGTTCTGGCCTCCTGTGTTCCTCCTTCGGTGACCTAACAGATAGAATTATTATTATTTTTTTAACCAGGGAAATAGGAAGATGTCAGGAAGGAGGGTTTAGAAAAGGAAGGAGGCTGGTCCCGAGTGCAGTTGTTTACAAGTTAGCTTGGGGCAGGGAGGTGCTGAGGGGAAGGCTGGGGTGAGACCGTGGGGCAGGGGCACTCTCACATCTGAAGTGGTTCTCACTGGCCCCCTATCCCGGGGAAACAGGACTCTCTCCGTGTCTTTGGTGAGCAGAGAGTGAAGGGGTCTCCTAGGGGATATCACTTCCCAGGGGCCAAATTCAGCTCCGGTGCTTGAGGAAGCTGGGATATTCCTGACCTTCCCCCAAATGGTGGTCATTTTTTCTTCCCCACGCCATGATCCTAGGTCTGTGCTGAGGCCCACTCTTGCCTCCAGCTCCCTGCACTGCCCCAACCCACCCCCAGAGCTCAGCTGAGGCAGGAGTCTAGGGGTTTCCAGCTGCTGCTTGCTTTTGTGCCTTGGGCTTCCGCTGCCACCCCAGAATCGCTTTTGATTCCCACATCCTCAGCCTCCCCAGACACGCTCCGCCCCAGTACTGCAGCATCCTGTACACCTCCCCCCACCCCCACCCCCAGAGGCTGGGAGGGTTCGCTGGTCCCCAAGATCCTGATGCCTCTCTCTCCCCCACCCCACTTCTCACGCCCCCAGCCCCCCGCAGTGTCTGCTCGCATCCCCTGCACTTCTGTATCTGTGCCCCTCCACGTGGATGCATCCATCCGCAGCTCCCTGCCTATGTGTCTCTCTCCCTCGGCGCCTCAGACGCCAGGAGGCAGTTCTGACTCTCCTGGTTTAGCGTGGAGTGCCCCTTGCCTCTCCTTTTCCGTCTCTCCCCATTCCAGCTGCCACCGAGCTCCAGTTCCATTTCTTGCCCGTAAACAGGCATCCAGGCCTTTGGCAGGAACGCAGGCTTCAACAAGCTTTGATCTGAAGGGAGCCCGCAGAGCACAGCCTGGAGCGGAGGGGCGGATGCCAGGGGGTGGCTGCAGGGTGGACAAAGGGAAAAGCACAGATTGGGACAAACACACCGACACCCCAGGGCTGGCGGCAGGAGGATGGGAGGGGAAGCCGGAGTAAGGAGCGACCCAGAGCAGCTCATTAAAGCCACAGCTGCACTCTGCACAATCCACGATCACACACAAAGCCCAGGGGAGTACAAGCGAGGTGGAGGCAGAGGGAGCGAGAGGAAGAAATTCTGAGAGGCGAGGCCTGTGCGCAGCGCAGTCGACCAAAAGGGAGACAGGGAACAGGGGGCGATGAGACCAAAACGGCAGCACAACACGCACTGCACACGCAGAGCCCTTGGGGTTCCTGCTGCCCTCACCCTGGCCCCCCGAGATGGGATGAGGAGCGAGGCTGGGGAGAGGAAGAGGGCACGGCCTCACCACAGTGACAGTCTGTGGTCCCACAGGCACTTTTATCTCCTCCCCGCGGCCCCCAGTCAGCCCCGCTGGCCCAGCCACGGATGTGCCCCCCACCGCACACCCTCTCCACGGCTTACTGGCGTCGTGTAACCTTCCTCGATGCCATGACCCCCCTGAGGGACCCTGTGGTTCGGTGGCTGCAACCTCCGCCATCCTCTCCTTTGCCTCAGACGCCCACGGTGGGGGAGCCGCGCCCCCCTCCTTCCCCTGTCCCCCGAAAGGTGCAGAACAGAGATCAACCTTAGAACCTTACAAACCCAGGCCCCACCTGCCTCCTCCCAGCACCCACCTCATCAGAGTTCTTTCATTCAACAGACTTCTATTCAGTGTCCACACAGGGCAAGGCCCTGGGTCTCCCCAGCTCCCTGGGGGGTGGGCCGCCTCCCCCCACCGTGGCCAGGGGAGGCCCCCGGTGCCCAGAGGCTCTGCCTGGAACCAGTGGCGGGGCAGCTTTTACTCTGAGGCTGACCTCTTCCAGATAAAGTGTCCTCACCCTGAGGGAGGGAAACCAGCTGGCGAGTGATTTCTGGCCCCGTCTTCTCGGAAACCTCTCAGCGGAGGGAGGCCGAAGCGGCCATTTTGTGGAAAGGGCCCCAAAATAATTAGTCAAAACACGAAAAGGTGGTGATCGTCCCGTCAGGTCCTGCTCGCAGCCTCGAGCTCTTGAACGTGTGCCCGCGGAGCAGGGCATCCAGGTGCAGGTGGTCCACCCGGAGTGAAGCCTCTGAATTCGGGAGAAGGGGCTGTTCTACGGGGAGGAACCTGACTGCCCAGGAGGCCCTGTCCAGTCTCAGAAGGGGAGGCAGAGGACGCCTCGGGCACAGGGCGGAGCCGAGGAGGTCTTAGGGGAGAGAAGGTCCGAGGCTGTGGATTGGACAAGGCGTCCCGTCTTGAGGGGTCTCACCTCCCCAGTGCCCCCCACACTCGGCCAAGCCTGGGGCAGGGCAGGCGGCACATCCCTCCTTAGCCCCCTGGCCTGCTTTGTCAGAGCAGCTAAGACACCTAGAACCGATTCTCTTAGAGCCAGTATTTCCCATGATGTATTTGCCTAAAAATGTGTCTCTATCCTCTTTATAGCATGTCACACGTAGAGCTCAAAGTCAATCCTTTTTGAGAATTTTAACTTTTCTGTTTCACTCATCATTTCAAAGCTAGTTAAAGAGGAAGTCTTTAGACATATAGTTCAAGACGTCCTAAAAAACGCACGAAAGTAGACAAAGATATCAAAGTACATATAAACAGAAAAGACGATTAACAGGCTGCGTCAATCGTGCGGCCTACGTATGAAATGTCGCCAGTGTGATTTCTGGTGTGACTTTTTGGTGATGGTGTCACTGGGAAAATTGATTTTGGGAGAATTGCCTCTGGACTAGATTCCACTTCTCTTATTATTATTTTTTATTGCTTTTCCCTTTGTTTCCCCTTCTCATTTGTTTTTTATAGGCCTCCTCCCTTCCTTCCTTAATATGTTCTTTCTCTCCCTTTCCCACTCCCCCTTCCCTCTTTTTTCTCTTTTTGCTCTCTCCCCCTCTTCATCTTCTCCTCTCTCCATAGTTAGTTGCCTTCCACTGCTTTTCTCAGCCTGAGGTGGCCTCAAGTCCCCAGGTCTTCTCTGACTTTGCAGGCTGAGCCCACACCCCTCTGAGGAGCACCGTCTGGCCCGGGCCCTGGGTTGGGCTGGCGGGGATGCCGAGAGGGTTTGGCATAGTCCCTCTTGAAGCTCACAGATCCAGTGGGAGATGGCTGCTCATGAAACGCAAGAGAAGGTGGCCCGACCTGCGGTGGGAGAGCTGGGAGTCCAGCACATCCCCACGCCTCTGCGCCTCGCTCTCCTCCCCTTCCCGGAGCTCTCCTCCCCTTCCCGGACCCGCAGAGAGGTACGAAGCTGTCTGCCCATCTTACCTGTGGGCCTGTGTCTTTAGTCCCCTCTGCGTCTCCTCTCGCTCCCCTACAGGTGTGCCTATGTGCGGGCTGGGAGCCCTGCCACCGCCACCCCGCTGGGGAGAGTGCTTGTTACTCCTGCAGAGACACACTTAAGTGAAGAGACAGGAAGCCAGCTGGGTAGAGAGACTCCACACCCCAGACCTGGGCCGGCCCCCAACGTCACTGCCTGGGGCTGGGGTCCCCACCCTCGGCCTGTAGGGGAAGATGTCAAAGTGAAAATGCAGATGTCAAGGGAAAAAGTTAAGCAGAACTAGGAGGGAGCCCAGAGGGTGTCATGTCACGCACTTGTTGCCTGTGTGTCCAGGCGTGGGGCCTGCAGGAGGCAGCCAATCAGTGATTCTCTTGCATCATTGGTGTTTCTGTCTCTCTCTCCCTCTTCTTTCCTCTCTGAAATATATATATATATATATATATTAAAGGTTATTTTGCCCTGTTTTAACATTCCAAAGGTTTGAGGCATAAGACGGGCACAGGTCCACAGTTCCTTTGGCACGGCAGCTCTGGCTCCATTTTAAAGTGGCTCCATTTAGTTCTCAGCCGTCATTGAGCCATGGACATCTCTTGGGACAACTGGCACAAGCAACACAAGACCGGGGGCAAGAGGAAGCCCCGCCACAAGAAGTGAAAATAGGAGCTGGGCCGCCCTGCTGCCAACACTAACATGCCTCCCCCTCCAACCCCTCCACCCCCACCCCCTCGCATAAACACAGTCTGTGTGTTGGGAGGCAGAAGTGCCGCACCTTGAGGCTGGACGTGGCCAACTTCTCCTGGGGCTGGGAGTGTTGTGCCCCCAAAACAAGGATTACTGGTGCTGTCTACAACACATCCAACAGCAAACCGGTCTCACCAAGACCCTAGTAAGGAGCTGCACGGTGCTCATTACAGCACCCCACACGACAGTGGTACAATCCCGCCAGGCACCGCCCCTGGGCCGAAACAAGGGGGCCAAGCGGGTTCCTGAGGAGGAAGACCATTTAAACAAAAAACGATCAGAGAAAATTCAGGAGAAATATGGGGAAAGGAAAAAGAATGCCAGAATCATCCGTCGTCTAGTTCCAGCAGGCAAGCTCCTGCACGCACCGCTCCAAGACCAGGCCTGTGTGGCCGTGGCCGCGCAGAAGGCTCTGTGCTGGGGGGCCAGGAGCTGGGGTTCCAGCTGAGGAAAAGCAAGGCCGGGAGCAGCAAATAAATCCTTCCTCCTATCGTAGCTCATGTAATACAGGTGTTTATTGTTTAGATAAAGTGGCTTCATTTATTGTTTTTTTACAACCTACCATCCTTCTTCTTTGAACCTCCCACTCAGTGAGGGCTTCACCATCCACCGAGCTGCTCACGCCAGATAAGCTGGGTATAATCTTTGACTCCACCCAGCCCCGCCCACGTGTTCATTTGCCAGTTCTCCTGGATGCTGCCTTCTAAATAGCTCTGAAGTCTGTCCAAGTCACTCTGCCCCCTGCCACCATTCCCACCCAAGGTGCCAGCATCATCCCTCGCCTGGATGATCGCACCTGCCTTTTCACTGGTCTCCTGGTCTCGCCATTCTTCTTCCTCCAGGTCATCCTCTGCTCAGCAGCCTGAATGTAAATATGCTCAGATCGTCATGCCATTCCCCTACTATGAGAAAAAACAAAGTGGCTAGTTCAGCTTGCAACTCCAACAATGAACACAGTGTTTCCACTGGAGTCCATCATTGTGCTGCATCTGCAGCAGCAGAGCTCCCCTCATCTCTCATTTCATAATTAATGAGAAGTGCTACATCTCATTCCATAACAATGTACTCAAGGGTTGAACTTTAATAAAATTAATATTTACTGCTTCATCAAGGACATTCTTAAGTGAAACTGGCACTTTTTTTCTTTTTCTTTTCTTTTTTTTTTCTGCAAGTGCCTGGCAGTGAAGAATACAATGACTATAGTATGGTTTGGCTCCACTGCCTTGGTTTGTGCTAAGGCAGCAGGCAGTCTATCCCTGGTAGCTTTTGCAACATCATTGCAATCTCAACATGCAGATAACTTCGTCTTATTTTTATGAAAATAACTGGACCTCGAGAACCCCCTGACAAGGTCTCAGGGAACCTTGTGGGCCACACGTTGAGAACCACTAATCTAGAAAATGTTTATTCATTCTTCAGATCTTAACTATGTCTCTGCACAGAGCTTCATTGTCCCCAGAGTCTTTTCTTCCTTAGTAATGCCCTCAGTTTTTAGCGGTGCTCGGGGCTGCCCAGATTTAAGTTATACTTCCCAGCTCCCTTTGCAGCTGAATGTGGCTAACTGACCATTTTAGTTCATGGATGCAAGAGAAAATGTTAGGTGACCGCACCTTCTACGGAGCATCCTTCAAGGGAGGACATATGTCCTTCAGAGGATGAAGTGTATCCTTCCTCAGGCCTTCACCCCCTTACTGCAGGCTGGAATGCAAACACTCTCCCACCTGCTTTCTCATGTACATGACCTAGCAGGCGCCTATAGGCTCTTGAGTTTATAACCTCTGATCTAGTCTGGTTCCTCCATTCATTCATGTATTCAACGAGTGTTAAGTGTCTACCAGACCCAAGGTGCTGGGGATGTCAGGTAAGCTAGGCATGGTCCTTGCTCTAGTCTAGCCTGTGAGGTAGACACTACAAGTTCAATCATTTCATTAGGATTAGACAAGTGCTGCAAGGAAGAAGCACAGAGTGCTGGAAGAGCTTATCATCGGGAACTTTGTTTCAGCCGGGAGCCCGAGGAAGGCTTCTGTGGGGAGTGTGTATCGGTAAGCACTGGGCTCTGCCCCAAATGAAAGAAAAGTCAACATAATAGAAGCTTTTTTGAGGCTGAGGTTGATTTCTCAGCTGAAAGAAGTCTGGTGGCAGGCGGTTCGGAGATAAGGGAGGTGAAGGGGCTCCACATCTTACCCCAGGGGCTGGATTTGGGCTGCACCATCCTCTCTCTGCCCAGGACCCCTCCTCATAGCCTGAGAAGGCTACTCAAGCTCCTCAGCTGAAACCTGAGTCCCTTACAGTAAGATCTCCGGGTACCCTGTGCTGCTTCTCCCCTGGAGCACTTGTCCAAGTGTAATGATGATGAAGTTATCGATTGTGTAGTGTCTGTCTGTCTCCCAGGCTAGAGTGGTGACCACGCCAGTCTGCTTAGCACCCAGCAGAGAGCCTCGGGCCTCATAGATCCTTAATACTTGTCAAATCTTTTTTTATATATTAAATTTTATTGACATTAAGTTGTGGTAAAATATATACGTACCACCGTAAAATTTGTCATTCTACCCATTTTTAAGTGTACAATGTGGCAGCATTAAGTACATTCACATTGTTGTGCAACCATCACCAGCATCCATCTCCACAACTTTTTCATCTTCCCCAGCTGAAATTCTGTACCTGTGAAATACTAACTTTCTATTCCCCCAGCCCCTGACTGTCGAATACTTTTTGAATGGATGAATGGATAGGGTCCAGGTCAGATCACAGACTTCAATGCCTAAGGGAGCCTGCTAAATCCGTGGTCGGCAAACTGCAGCTCGCGAGCCACATGCAGCTCTTTGGCCCCTTGAGTGTGGCTCTTCCTAAGCCTTAGGAGTACCCTAATTAAGTTAATAACAATGTACCTACCTATATAGTTTAAGTTTAAAAAACTTGGCTCTCAAAAGAAATTTCAATCGTTGTACTGTTGATATTTGGCTCTGTTGACTAATGAGTTTGCTGACCACTGTGCTAGGTAATCTAAATGAGAAAAGCAGACCCGAAGTGAACTGTAGGGAGAGGTGAGGACTGAGGTGGGGACTAGAGAGTGCCTGCCTCATTGAACGGGGGCAGCCACTAATCACACAGCTCCAGCTGAGTTGATAGTAGAGGTTGTGAACTCAGAGTTGCCAGCTCTTCCCAAATTTTGAGAGAAGATGAGAAACCAGACATGTATGTAATATCTCCTATTTTTAATGTTGACAACTAATTATTTTGTTCTAACACTGGATAAATCAAACAAAGCATTCCAGAGGCTGGGTCTAGCTTAGGGCCCACGGATTGCACCTGATGAACCAGATGGACTGTGTAACACCATTCGACTCTGGGGTCTGTGACCTGTGAATGTCTATGAAGATGGATTCCCAAGAGTCAACAGGCTCCAAGAACCTGACTGGGTGTCACGCTGGGATTTCCAAAGAGGAAAAGAAAAGAGGAAGAGAGAGCAAGTTTATATGAACATTAACAGCTGTGTGCTCTATATGGCTGTGTATTTTATTTAATCCTCACAACAATGAGAGGACACACGTATTATTTTCTGGACCATACAGACGAGGAAACTGAGGCTCAAAGAGTTTAAGGAAATTGCTGAAGGTCACAGAGCTAGTAACCATAACTGGTGGAACTGGGATTTGAACTTCTGCCTGGACCCAATGCTTGGATTGTCCCGACTGCCTCTTCTCTGCATTAAGGAAGGCAGTGCAGTGAGGGATATGAGGCTGACAACCTCATCTGGGGCTCCTGAGGCTTAGCATCGGCCACTATGCCTCACATATATACAGTGATTTTCCATTTCAAAGCACTTCCACATACATAAGCACTTGCCAAACCTTTTTGGTAGGTATTACATCCTCATTTTATAGAAGAAGAAATGAAGTGAAGCCCATGGTAGGACTGTAAGCACTGAGCATGGCGATTTCCAGAAGTCTCCTGTTCCTGGTAGAACGCTATTTTTGCTGCATGGATTCTGTCTCCAGGCTGGAGGAGGGGGAGGAGGTCAAGTGGGGAGAAAGAGAGGGGAAGCAGAGGGAAGACAGAAGCTAGGCTGACAGTGTCGGAGGCCGGGCTATTGGAGAAGGGGTAGGGCTGCCCGTGGAAGCTGGGGAAGGGAAGTTGGAAGCCCCAGGTGCAGTCCTGTGGTGGCCTCCTTACCAGAAACATCTGCAGCTGCACTGACACCCTCTGCAAAGGGGGTTGGGGGCAGGCTTGGAGTTGGGGGTGGGGGAGGGGCCACAGAGGTGGTCTGGGAAGTAGAGTCTCCGAGGGCTGACCCACCTCCACCCTGGCCACATTCTCCCTAGCTCCTTGGCCACCTTCTGCAACTCTCAGAGGGTGGCTCCTGGGCCTCCCGCACTGC